GTGGCAGTAACAAAGCTTCCGTCCCAGTGACAAGCCACAGATTACTGAAATAGAGCAAAGCAAATTTTACAATCACCAAGACAGGATTGTTTCAAAGCGAAACTGCGTCAGAAGTCGCCCATTGTAGTAGCAGGGGCATAAGGAACACGTAGAAGATGGTAAAACAACTTCAGGAGCAAATTGATGGAATTTGCTGATGGCAAGGGAAGGTTGGAAAACAGATGCAGTTTTTGTTTTCTGGCCTTAAGAGAATACATCAACAGATGCCTGGAACCAATAAATTTCCCTAGGGAAGAAAAGCTACTAGCAAAAATAAGAAGAAAAGATTGCTTTATGTCAGGTGAGGCAAAAATGAGTGGAGCTGATGAGAACACAGTTCCCAGTCTGTGGGGACCTGGATTTAATGCTAGCAGTGGAGTGGCCACACAAAGCAATTCTCTGGGGTGTTATGTTGCAGTCAGAGAGAGGAGCTTCAGCTCAGCGCCTTACTGGTTTGGAGATAAAGCACAATAGAGAAACATTGGGTCTTAAAGCGAGAAATGATCTTTGTAATAATTCTTCACATGAGCGAGCTGAGACCTGACCACAAGAGATTAGCGGTTTGCTCCAAGTCTCCGGGTCAGATAATGGCTAAGCTGGGAAGAGACTGAACGCAAGAGCGGGCCTTACCCATTTGGAAGATTTCAGGTTCTGCATTGAGCATGGCCTTCATCGCTGTGAACTAGGAGCCAGTATAAAGGAAGGTCCCGTGAAGAACAAAACCAATAAAAGAAGAAGACCAAGTGGGCCCCGGGGGACTTGTATGAGAATCTGTGTGATAACAGGATGATTTGTGCAGAGCTCTAATTGAGAGAAAGAGAAAGAATAGGAATTGCTGTTATCTCCACTTTGTTATTAAGTGAGGATGTGGCATTTCATCTTCATGGCCTTAGCAAACTTAATTAAGTGTCAAGTACAGTAAAAATCTAAATTTCACGGGCAACCTAGGAAAAAGTACTCTGAGGGCCTGGTGAGAAATACAGAAGGTATACCAGAAGTCCCTGCCTGAAACATCTTTGAAATGGTTCTATTTGAAAACATTCTCCCTCTCTCCTCATCTCTTCCCTCCCCTCTCCTTCCCTCTCCTAGACCCCTCCCTCCCATACATTATTTTAAAAACAAAAGCCTTGTTAGGATCTGTTTCCCACACTGTTGATTCTGATTTCAGATGGGGAAATAGATAAAGTGGGTTGAATGTAGATTTAAGGAGAGATAGAGAGATTCCGGCATGAAATATGTTGGTTTTTGAGGTTCATCTTTTGTGTTTGAAGCATGAAATGACTAGATCTGAAATATAAATGATAATGGACCCCTGCCCCCAACCCCTCAACCCCCGATAATTTCCTAGTTGTGATGTTCTTAAAGGTTGTATGCTAGTTCAGGGCTTTTTAATATTTCTATTCTTCAGGATGAAGAATAGAATCCTTAGATTGAAATAATTTGTAGCTGCAAGTTAGCAAAAGCTACTTGGATATTCCACATCTATAAATAAACAAGACTTAAGAATCATGCCCAGAGGTAGTGCATGCCTATACTCTCAGCATCTGGGCGATCAAGGCAAGACGATCAGAAGTTCAGGCTATGTAATGAACCCTGTCTCAAGAAAAGAAAAAAAAAACATTGTAGGAGATTGGTGTTTCTCACACAAAGATTTCCTTTAATCACCAATGATTTACAAGGGGGAGGGGGATCAATGACCCCTGCCTTTAAGGACTGTGCTAAATATTGTGACTTCTACGTGCTAGGATTTCTTTTTGTTCCCAGGTTGCACCTGTGTCTTTTGGAACAGTTCAGTAATGGAAGAAATGACACTGTCATTCCTGTAATGGGGCATCATTAACCAGAGGCCTTTTGTAAGCATGTAATTTCAGACTTCATTACAGACTGGACCTGGGTGTCCACACCAGCACTGCTCAGGAACGCTGCTTCTCTTGTAACTCTACAAAGAGCCTTGCATGTTTAATGCGGCTGTTGGAATATTTATGAAAGAGCATACCTGTAGAGGGCATCTGTCTTCAGAGCACACGGGTCATGAGGAGGTTATGAAGTAGGAGTGCTTCACTGGCCTTACTTGAGACTCTCCAGTTTGAAAAATAAAAGTATGTGGTGTGATCGGAAATTCACTTTGATGCGGTCCTTTTTACTGGCAAGGTAAAGGAAAACGCATGTGTGCTCCCAGGAACTTATTCTCTTACTATGTAGGTAGCTGGCCTACAATTCCTCATATGGACCAGGCCTCAAATTCACAGAAACCCTCCACCTGCCTTTGCCTTCTGAGTTCTGGAATTAAAGGAGTGTGCTACCATACCTGACTAGTTTTTTTTATCATCTGAGTGTGATGGCTAACCTTCTGGATTTTTACAATCGATGAGGATGTACACATAGCACATGTCTTCCTTCTAAATGTCTGTATTTACTAGAAGGTATGTGCTGGACTAAGCCTGTGCCAGTCTTGCTAGGAGAACTACACTTGAGATGATGAAGATCCTGGCTTCCTGGATAAACATATTGTAGTGAAATATAAGCCTGCCCATAAGCTGTACGATGATTCTATGCAGAATTTCATGTCTAATTCTAAATCCAGAAATCAAGTGTCAGCTCCTGTGGGAGGGGAGAGCTGCCATTGCCCTGATCCTTTCCCTTTGATGGCATCTGATGGGCCCTGATCCCTCACTCCTGGTAGTCCTAGCAAGTCTGGTGGGTTTCTGTCCTGTTTGATGTCAAGGCTGGTAGGGAGGTGTTGTGATGAGACCCTGTGGACATAGACATGTGCCCACACATGTGTAAGTGAGCATATGTTCCTGCATAATGTCAAATGGAAGGGCTGCTTCCAAAGGATGTTGATGACCTCAGGTTACATACTTTCTCATATTTCTAATGTTAATGTCCATAGCATGTACTTTTGTTCTAATTTACTCTGCAATGAGAAGATGGAACAGTGTTCTTCAAGCTGTGCCAACTACCGTGATTAGGTTCCTTCCCGTTCCATAGGCTTCTGTGGTTCCCTGGGATTTCCTTCCCTTATATCACCAGCTAGGTCCATTCTTTCCCACCCCACAGGCCTGGTCGGCAGTTCTGTCATAGTTCATGGGGAGTAAACAAACAATGGCCGTATACTTAATCAAAGGAGTCCTAAAACAGTACCACAAAAATCAGCAAAATGACAACAACTGATGCACATCTTTCGATAATAACTCTTTATATTAATATTCTCAATTCCCCAATAAAGAGACACAAACTAGTAATTAGGATTAGAAAATAGTGAGGCTAGAGAGATGGCTCAGAGGTTAAGAGCACTGTCTGCTCTTCCAGAGGTCCTGATTTCAATTCCCAGCAACCACATGGTGGCTCATAACTATCTATAATGAGATCTGGTGCCCACTTCTGGCCTGAGGGCATACATGCAGGCAGAATGTTGTAGACATAATCAATCAATCAATCAATCAATCAATCACCAACCAATCAATCAATCTTAAAAGAAAGAAAATAGGATCCATCTTTTTGTGCCTCTAAGAAAAATACTTCACCATCAATGATAGATACATTAGGGTACAAGGGTGGAAAAAGATATTCCAAGCAAATGAAACTAAGAAACAAGCAGGTACAGTTATCCTAATATCTGACAAGATAGACTTCAAAATAATCAGAATAAATAAATAGGTTACTTCATATTCATCAGACACACATCAGACTTAATACAGACACACACCAAACATGAGCATACACAACGTTGCTCATCTGGATCTGACTCCACAGACCAAGCCCAACAGAAGGTTGTAGGTGACTTCAGCACCCCATTCTCACCAATATACAGGTCATCTGGACAGAAATTAACAGAGAAGATTGGAGTTAAATGGCATCATAAATCAAGTGGACCTAAGATCTACAGAACATTCCTCCCAACACTCCACAGTCTACTTAGCACTCATGGGTCTTTCTCCAAAACCAACCACATCCGAGGGGACAAAGCAAGTCTTAATAAATGCAGGAAGAGTAAAGTAACATCCTGCATTTTATCTGACCACAGTGGAATAAAGCTGGGTGTCACCCCCAATAGAAACCACAAAGTACACACATGCGTGGGGACCCTAGAACACACCACTAAAGGATAACTGAGGCCAGGAGAAATCAAGATGGAAGTTAAAAAGTCTTAGGCTTGAATGAAAATGAAGACCCAGCATCCCACAATCTGTGGGATGTCATGAGGTAGTCCTGAGAGGACATGAACAAAACCGGGGAGAGTTCAAATTCATAACTTAGTGGTACAATCAGAAGCTTTGGAAAAACAGTAACAGACAACACCCAAAAAAGGTAAACGGGAAGAGATAATTAAAGTCATGACTAGAATTAATGAATGATGAAAGTGGTAGACAATAGATGGAATCAATGGAACGAAGAGTTGATTCTATGAAAATATTAACAGAGTTACTAAGTCTTCAGCCAAATTCACCAAAAGTCAGAAAGGAGATTCAGATGAATAAAGTTAGAGATGAAAAGAGACATTACAACAGACTGAGGACATAAAGAAAACAAGGACACACTTTAAAGGGAGTTACTTTATGCTTACGTGTTTACTGTGAACAATGTATAATTTATGTGTATATATTTGCAGGTACACCTACTTAAGGATATAGTAATCCAGCTTTATTCTCAAGTAAAAAATGATATAATCAAATCGCTGTTCTCTTAATGTCTGAAAAGCGAGCTTGGGGTGATTGGGAAGTCAGGGCTGCCTTCTTTGTGTACCGAAGATTTTGGCTTACTGCGCTTTTGTTTCCATTCACGAGTGGATCTGAATGTTACATTTCTCCATTGTCTCTGAGACTGGCTCTCTGTGTTGCCAGGGTGGTTCCGAGTCCTGATCTTCCTACCTCAGCCTGCTGAGTGCTGTTCTGGGTGGGCCATGCCCGCCTCGTGCCCACCTTGGAGGTTAACTTCAGATGCCTGGTTTGTCTTTCCAGAATACGACAGGAGAGTGACATGGTTGATTCGGCGCCTCAGTGGGAAGCCGTGTTAAGGAGGCAGAAGGAAAAGAACCAAGTGGATCCTAGCAACCGGAGGTCCAGACACAGATCTCGCTCGTATGTGGGTTCTTTTTCCACTTTCCTTCAAAATCAGGGAGCTTGCTGGGAGCTTGGCAGAGCAGGCAGATGGGTGCTTGGTCTCCTAAGGAGTCATTTCAACTGGGAATATCCATTTTTTATTTGCTGTTTTCCCCTTCTTACACATGTAACATTCACTAACCATTTTTGAAGGCTTAGAAGTCGGCACTCAGGCAGAGCAAAATGTCTTGGGAACAAGGCCATCAGAAGCATAGTTTTTAAAAAAAAAACAAATGCGTACATCCAACCAGGTAAATAATAGAGTTTCCTTTGTTCTGAAGCCTGGTTGTTGATGAAACACCTGCTGCTTTGCCCAATTGGAGTCTACAGAATTCTCTGAAGTCTTGTTCCAAATCGAGCCAGACTATCTTGCTGTCAGATTACCATTTGTGAGCAGTAGTCATTGAATGATTCATTACACCCCAGCATTGAGATCTGCCTGCCCCTCCTGTTGCTAGGCAATGACAGGCGTGAGCACAATTACCCCATCACAGTGGATTTCCTGCCCCCCCAGATTAATTTTCTGTGAGCTGACAAAGTGACGTGCTTGCATGCTCGTGTGTGAATGGTGTGTGCGTGTGTACCTGTGCACGTGTGCTTTGGTCTACACATCAAGAGTTAGACCACCATGCCTGTGCCAAGCATGTCTCTTTCATGTGAGCTGGGACGAGCTTGAAGTTAGCCCCAAAGCCTCTCAAGATCCTGGGTGGTCAGCTGTAGTTTTCTTTACTTCTGGGAGGAGAGAGCATTGTCTGCACAGGGAGAGGATGGACTGAGAAGCGATGCACAACTGTGGGTCAGCCGGTCACACCAGCTGGGTAGCTCTGAGGGAGCCAGGCAGAAGAAAGCTGAGAGTGCACGGTTAGGTTGACAGGCCAGGAGAGGATGTTGGAGGCTACGCCACAGATCCTGTGAGCCCTGTGTTTGAAGGTATACGCCTCAATCATAGATACTTAGATTTTGATTGGAATGTTTGTTTTTTGAAGATGAGGTCTCACGGGGCTGGAGCAGTGGCTCAGTTCTGTTCCCAGCGCCCACATGATAGTTCACGGTCAGCTATAACTCTAGTTCCAGCGATCCAACACCCTCTTCTGACCTCCTTTGACATCAAACACACACGTAGTATACAGACATGCATACTGGCAGAACATATGCATTAAATAAATCTAAAACAAATGAACAGGCATAAGCCAGGGTCTTACCACGTGGCCCTGACTGGCCTAGAACCCGGTACAGAGACCAGGCTGACCCCAACCTCATAGAGCCAGCCCTGCCTGCCTTTGACTCCCAGGTGTTGGGATTAAATGCAAATGCCACCACACTTGTATAGAACTTTTTTGTTGTTTGGAAAGGATTTCAAGTAGCTCCTGGCTGGCCTTTGACCTTAAACTGAACTTCTCCCCCTTCCTCCCCACTGCCACCCACCTTGTTTTCTTTTCTTTTGAGACAGGATTTTACACTGTAGCCCTAGCTGACCTGGCCTGGGACATGTTCTAGAGACCAGAGACTGGCCTGGAGCTCACAGAGATCCACCTGTTCCTACCTCCTGAGTTCGGGGATTAAAGGTCTATACCTTTATATCCTGCCCAAGGCCTTGAATTTCCGATCCTTCTGTCTATGCCTTCTCCAAGTGAGGATTACAGGCAGGCATTTTCATGTTCATTTTTTTTTGCTTTTGCTTTTATTTTTAATGTGGCATTATGAATTTTCAGTTTTTTAAATAACAAAGTTATAGTATAATTTGGGATATGTTCCTCTTCCTTTTTGGAGTTAATATAAAATCAACACTATTTCTTCTTTAAATATTTTGTATAATGTTTCACCTTGCCTGAATGTTTACAAATTCTCTTTCTTTCTTAGTTTTTATTTTTCTTTCTTTCTTTTTTTTTTTTGGAGTGAGTCTTGGACACACTTGCTCCTTTTATTTGTTCAATGTATGTAAATACACTGTCACTCTCCTCAAATGCACCAGAAGAGAGCATTGGATCCCATTACAGATGGTTGTGAGCCACCATGTGGTTGCTGGGTATTGAACTCAGGACCTCTGGAAGGGCAGTCAGTGCTCTTAACCTCTGAGCCATCTCTCCAGCCCACAAGTTCTCTTTCTTATTCAAAGAGTTATACCAAAGACCCACACAGATTTGCAAACCAGCAAGGTAATTTTATTCTAAGCAGGCCAGACTTGCTGTCAAGAATGACATTGGGCCACACATGTGAAGATGCCCAAGGACCCCAGGTACTCAAGGGTTTGGGCATCCTTCTCCATGCTATCTAAAGGAAGGGAGGGATTTGGTTGGCTAGTAGGGGTGCGTTTTGCATAGTTCTCTATTTTGATTGGCTGACTTGGCTTTGTAGACTTTGGCTCGTTGCACACATCCTTTCCCACAGTGCATCTGATTTTAATCATCTCCATATCCAGTCACACATAAGCATTTGATGGAAAGCAGGGCATTCTCTCTGCTTGTTCACATAGAGGACTAAGCTGGCCTTGTCCTGCACGCACCCCAAGCTAATTCAGGCTGAATTGGCCATGAACTCACAAACCTAGACGATTGAATAGAATCTGAGTTCGACGGTGGTTAATGGGTATGAGAAAGTTATTTCAGTGTTCAGAGTGGGGTGTGTGTGCAGGTTGTTGGGTACATTGTTCAGAGGGATATATCTGCATAGTGCATGTATTTCAGGGTGTCAGGCTGCCAAGGGTGTTTTGTATACATATATACATACATCATACATACATACATTCCCAAATCAAGTGCTATCTCTGGTTGCTAAACTATTCCTACCGCTCACCTGCCTCAATGCTATCTCTGCCTAGATTTTTGTTTGTGGAAAGTTTTGTATTACAAACTCCATTTCTATTTTAAAATAACAACAACAACAACAACAAGCATTAAGTTGAACATGACTGGGTCTTATCTATTAAATGTTACAAAGCTCAAAATTACCTGTTATATTTTTCATTTCCATTTCTATGGCATTTGTGTTTGCTGCTGTGACATATACATAAAAAGGGGTCAGCATTAGCCTGGCTGAACCTGCTTTCTGCCTTGTCTCCTTGGGTTGTGCAGTAGGGGCCTTGCCCTTGCCCTTCAAACAATGGTTTGTGTGTGTGAGTGGGCTCCACCACCCTCTGGTGGCTACAATGTGTTACTACGTTTACTCACTGAAATACTGATTTCAAGCCGCGAGGCTGCATAGGAAGTGCTGGGCCAGATGAAATGCAAAGTCCAGCATAGATGAATGTTCAAGGACGTTCTAAGATGTTCCAGAGCAAACTTCCACAGCTGAGTTGCCGGCCTTCATGTTCCTAATTAGGAAGGGAAAGGAGGAAGAGGAATGAGGCATCACCTTAATTCACTTTTTCTGACCATTCAGGAATATCAGAAGAAGCACTAAGAGTTTGTTCAGCGTTCTCTCTTCTCTAAGTAAATATCATTTTTGTGTTTACTTATTTTCAATTTTAAACTCCCTTTTAGAGATGCAGTTAGCTTAAAGATGATAAAACAACACCAGCTAGCTACCAGTGTATGTTACTTTGAAGTGGATATTGTAGGAGTGTTTTTGTTTTGTTTTGTTTTGTTTTTGAGACGTGACTGTGTAGCTCAGATGGGCCTTGAGCTCGCGATTTTCCTCCCTCGCTGCCCAGGTGCCTGGATTACAAGCTAATGGGTACAAACCAATGTCTCTGACTGATTTAAAGTTGAGTCATTGCGTAAGTATAGACAGAGAAGCTTTTGAAAAATACTGGACCTATACTGGACCAATACTGGACCGATACTGGACCAATACTGGACCAATACTGGAAGCTTGTTTATGTTTGTTATATTTTATATCTACTGACCACTGAGGGATTTCCTTTGGAGAGTTTACATAAAGCATCTGCATAAGTCTTTTTTTTTTCTTTTAATACAGTCTACGTAGCCCAGGCTGGCCTGGAACTCAACATGTAGCTGAGGATGGACTTGCTCTCCTGTGCCATCTCCTGTGCTGAGTTGCATGCTTGTGCTGGCATACTTTTTTTATGTGTGCTGGAATAGAACCCGGGCTTTGTGCACACTAAACTCAGGAAGCTCTCCCAACTGAGCTACAGAAATATGGCTGTTAAAATTTCACAGTGTTCTAAACTCACAAAACTGTATTGAACTGTAATCATGTAAAATTTATATGTACAGATATAAACATAAAGTAATATAGCCACCATTTAGGTAGCTTGTGTTTGTATTTCTTAAATCACATTTGTCCTAACAGTCAGAGGAAACTGTCATTTTTCAGCTTCAGAATCCCCCCATGCTCTGAGCTCTTTGAGATTAGTGGAGATATTAGAAGTCAGTTTATGCTAAGTTTTCAAGGACAGAATGACTGGCGTTTTGAATGGAATCACATGACTTATTCACAGTGAAACGGTTTTTAACTCTCCCCCTTCATAAGCTGAGGAAGACTTCTGGCTAAAGTACAAACAGAAAGGCATAAATAAGAAACGAAAGCTACCCGAAGCTCCAGTGGTAGAAAACTGTCTGTGCTGCCAGGGCTTGTTGTTTGGTGTGCCTGGCATGCAACACTGCAG